CGCCGCCTCCAGCGCCTCCACCGCCCGCCGCCCGCTCCGCCGCCGCCTCCCGCGACTGCGAGGAGAGGTTGGAGGCCGGCTCGGCGCTGAAGTCCTGCAGGATCCGCAGCGTGTGCTTGCTGGGCCAGCGCGGGGCGGCGCGGGGCGGCGCGGCGGCGGCGGGCGGCGGGCAGGAACAGCCCGGGCGGCCCTCGGGCCCGCGGCGCTCCAGCCGCGGCAGCAGGTCGATCATGATGTGCATGGTGCAGGCGACGAGGAACACCATCAGGATCAGCACCCGGAACTTGCGGACCAGGAGCATTTTCATGGCCGGGGCGGCTGATGAATTACCGGGGGAAGGGGGAGGGAGGGGAGGCGGCGGCGGAGAGAGCCCGGGCGGGCGCGGGGCTGCCGGGCCCCCCCCGGGGCTCCGGGTTGCTCCTCTCGGGTCGGGAAGCGAGCGATCAAGTCAATAAAGTTACCTCCATAGGCGCCGAGAAATAAACAGGCTAAACCCGATAGGTCCTCATTTCTCAGTATCATCAAGAACTTGGGAGGGGGAGGGAAAAAAAAAGAATAAAAGGAAAAAAAAATAATAATAAAAAGGAGCTCCGGACCGAGCCTTTAAAATCAACAGGAAAACAATGCCAGCGGCATGGCAATATAGAAAGCCATCTGTTCACGATTTCTCCTTCTTTTTATTACAGGGATCACAACAAATACCGAGAACTGACTCTTGGAGAGAAACCGGCATCAGACACTGGCGCTGATTAAATAAAATTTAAAAAAATATACGGGGAGGAGGAGGGGGGAAAGAAAAATATTAAGAAAACCTGTGCGGAAAGGCGACAGAAGAAAAAAAATCATCCATAATATTTGGCTGTGCTGGAAACGCTGACTCCCTTCCCTTGGATTTGAGGAGTGATGCAGCAGAAGCGCTCTCCACTCGCTCTCGCTCCCTCTCTTCTCTCAGACTCTTTAAGAACATTGGCTGGAAAATCATTTTCTTAGAGCAGTTCCAGTTTCTTCGTCCATCGCGTCCAGTGCTCGGGAGAGATTAGTATGTTCAACTGAGATCGAGTCTGAGTGGCTGCTGTATCCGAGCTGGGCTTTTGCTTTGGCTTGGGTTGGTTTTTTTTGGCTGCAAAACTGTCTGATGGCACAACTGCAACATAAAGGTTAAATATGGCACAGAAAAAAAAGAGGGGAGAGAAGGAAGGATTAGAGGAAAGAAACTAATATAAATCAGTAGAGGTTCTTTTTAGCGAAGAGGTCTTTGATCTCTGCTGGGTCTTACAGATCTGCCTTTTAGAGAGAGAGAGAAAGGAAGAGAGGAGGGGGGAGAGAAGGAAAGAGGGGGGAGAGATCTTTGGCAGGTGCAGAGTGAAAACCTCTTTCAGCTACACTGAATTCTGGAGACTGGTTGGACTAGTAGCTCTGCAGCTCCAGCTTTCAGTGGGTGTGTTAAATATTATGAGCGAGCCATGATTCCTGCCTTCCTCGCGTCATAGTTAGGAGATTGGCTAAATAAACGCTACAGTGATAGTAACAGGAAAACCTCAACCAAAAGCGGGGTTTTTTTTCCCCTCCTCTCCTCCCTTCTTCCCACCCCCCTTTTCATTCTACTGCAGCTCCAACTGGGGCAAGGAGAGGGCGTCTGTTCCACAAAGGTTTGGGAAAAAAATATAAAGGAAAAAAACAGTCGTAGGGGAGAGAGGAATCTGCGCTAACAGCATTGCGAAGCTGGAGCGCGGTGCCCTGCTGGGATCAGCGATTCTGCTCCGTCATTGCCCGGGCTGGAAGTGGCGCATCGCCCCCTCCCCTCGCCCCCAGCCCCGGCAAGGTCAGCCCGTCAAACCATGTGCTCCGCTCCGTCCCGAGGAACAAACAGCCTTTCCTTCTAATCCGCGATCCTGCGGGCTGTGATAATCCGGGAGCGTGCTGCCCTCTCTCCTGCTGCGTTCGCTGCGCAGTTGGCTCCGTGTCTGGGTGGCCTAAAGGCTGATGGAAGTGGTGGTCTTGGAGCCAGGACAGCCCAGGGAGTGCTGTTGACGGTTGTCTAAGGTTGAGGGCACTCTGGAGGAAGGAACAAGCTACTCCTGATCTTCAGGTGATCAGGCAGGGATGCTCAGAGCTGATGATTTTTGGTTTTGGGCAGGGGTCTGCCTGGATTTTATGGTCCATAGCAGGGCTCAAATGATTGTCAAGTGGGGCTGCAGGAGGAATGGAAAAGGTAATGTTCGTCCTCCAACCCACCACCATCTTTCCACAGAAACATCTCAATGCTGAATGTGCTGGTCCATTTTTTCCCTGCATTAAGCAGCATTAAAGTATTTATTTTCCTCAAAAGATATTCCTCCACCTGACAGGCTTCATCCAGCACTGTTCCCTTACTAGATGTTTCTGCAAAGCCCTGTGCTCTGCTCTCCTCTGAAGCACATCCATGCAATGTTACAATGTTTTGCACAAGGGAAATCACTGCTTTTCCAACAGGAAAAGAAAATTGATGAAAAAAAAAGACCTGATGGGGCCATGATCCTATGGACTGCTCTGTACCTTGAGTAGAAACACTTGCTGCCCTAGGGGGACCTTGTAGTCCTAGAGGTACAGCTCCCTGTAGATGCAACACTTTGATTCCCATGGAAGCCATTATGTCACTCTGGGTGCTTCAAGCACGAATGTACTTAATTGCAGCAAAATATTTTGCTACAGAGCCAGAAGCAAGGTTTTCCATCTTTTTGCACTTTTTTCACCAAAATCAGCTTAGAAAAAGGCTTTGTGGACAGCTGACTATGCAGACAGTGACAATGGTTCCTTGTTGTCACTGCCTCCCACTGCTGCTAAATAGCAAGTCTGTATGGTCCTGCTTGGGAAATCGAGTTTGGTTCATAAGTTTACCTCCCCATGCAGTGAGCTAACATTCATCTTATTTTAATCTAGTTTAGGAAGCTGGCATTTTAGGCCCATCAGGAAGAGCCTTGAAGTTTTGTTTCGGCTGGGGAACCCACAGCTGCTGGGAGGGGATATGAGATGTGATGGGTGCAGTATGAATGACATATGGAAGACTATCTGTTGCATTTTGGGGTTCTTTTTTTGCCTGCCTGTGGCTGTAGCCTTTCTCCTCCTGCTGTCTCCTAGGGAAATCAGCTGAGCTGGATTATCAGTCAAGCCCAAGGGTACAAAATGGGGCAGGTGGATGCTGGATCCTGTGCCTTGGGGAGTGGAGTGATGGAGGAGGGCAGCCAAAGGCAGTATGAGTAAATGCACTGTATTGTTTGTCTTTCTTACACTCGTTGCTGTGACTTTTTAAAAAAGATCTGAGTGAGATATGTATGAGGATAGATAATATGACACATTATCTGCTTTAGTATGGCACAGTGGGGTTTGTAGGCTGCAGGTTGGGTTTTTTTCTTAGTGTTTGCCCTACTAAAACTGAGGACTGTAGTATTAGATGGGGGAGAGACTTATGGTGAAGATAAAGTTGCAAATTACTTAAATGAATTCTTTAAGATAAAGTTGTTTGAATACATCTATTACTTTGAAGTAACAGAACATTGTGTCAAATGTGTTGTAACTCCATGTTCAAGAGTTATATAATGAAAGTGAGACTACCTTTGAAATACAATATAAGCAACTAAATGTAATTAATTACATGACTTTCAAAAAGTGAAATAACAGTACTGTGAACAAGTAACTGATTCTGTGAAACTACATTTTTTTGTTCTCATCAATGTGACCTTTGGTGCTTATTGGCTATTCAGTTAAGTATGGTTTCCTCTAAACTGTGCCTGCCTGAGAACTCAATCTCTCCCTGACTCTCCTCTATGAGCTGTTTGTTCCTTAAGCCTTTTAGACATTTGAGTTTTATCTAAAGATGGGAGACTGGTGGATGTACCCTGGTCCCTTCTGTACCTGACCTTTGTGGACAAGTTTTGCTGCAACAAAAATGCCCTAGAGATGTGAATAAAGGTGGACTATCTTATCTGTGCATTTCTTCTTTCTTCTCTTTTTATTTTTTTTTTTTTGTGGGATGCAGAAGAACTGAGTCTCACTTTTTTTAGATTATAGTTGCTACTTTGTAAATAGCATCCATACACTAGCAAAGTCAAAAATGTTAAAAATGTTGAAACAACAAGTGTCGCCAGCCAAGGGGTGGCCTGTGGTGAGGAAGCCACAGATTGTTGACGTATGAAGCCACTAGGATATGTCAGGAGCTGGGCTGCAGGTTAGGATAGCCTGGAAATTGGGCAAGAGGTACAAGAGAAGGGGCAGGCAGACTCAGGGACCAGGTCTAAGGTATTCCAAGGCTAGTGCAGCTTCCCAGGACAACCTCACTGCTGACCCTCTGCAAGTGTGAGCTTGGTGCAAGAGAACTTTTGTGTTTGTGCTGGGATGTGGGGTGTATGTGACTGACCCTTGGTAGGAAAAGGTTCCCTTTTCCTGCTGTAAAGGAAGAAATGGGGATTTGTTTCCAACCAGCTGGATTTCGGCCCTGTCTCCCTGTCTATGTACCATGATGCCCTGGCCCCTTAGCTTTCAGTGCAAGTGCAATATTTGCATGCAGGTTACCTCCCCTGGCTTCAAACATTTGCCTTCAAGTCTTGAAGGGATGAGAAAACAAAAATTTCTGTTAACTGATGACTGTTGTTCAAGGTTTTCTTCAAGTAAGCTTTTAAGCAGCAAACTTGTGTGTGTAGAGCCACAGGGTCTTTGTAATAATGCCTGATGTGGGTAATTTAAGAAGTTAGTTGTTTATTATTTTACTTCCTGAGGTCTTGGTCTCAGTAAGAAAAATATAAATATTTCTCCTTAACTAAACTCTGTGCTTTCATGTGGAATTCCAGTATGTGGCAAAGAGCTTTTCATTTCTGCTGTGCTGTGTGTTGGACCAGCATTACCCCCATAATTGCTGGCATTATGTAAACAAGGACATAATAAGTTCTTAATGGAATATTATTACATTAATAAATCACTGCATACAGCTCATCTCAATAATTTAAATGAAATCAAGTCCCTTACATAGACTCTTTATTTTCTTTTTGGTCATTGAATTAAAATCTTTCCCCTGTTTTATTGAAGTATTTGAATGTCATTGGGAATTTCACAATGAATTGCTACAATCACAAGCCAAGATTGCTTTGGATCTAACAGGCTTTTTAATGTGGTATTACAAATTAATACTAAGCACTTCTTTACATGTTTTACCTTTGCTTTTATTTAGCAATACAATCAAGAATAGGGGGGGGGGGGGGGGTGTTATTGTCGTATATCCTGGCATTTCCTCATTGTTTTGTGCGAGAATTAGTAGCTTATCGTCTGCTGAAATCTGTGTAGATGTTTATTTTCCCTGGTTTTGTCTACTTGCCTCACTGAGCAGCCACAATGGTCAGTGTACGTGATAGTGTATTCAGGTAAATAAATGAAGCATGGGTTGGGGTGAGTAAACACACCCAGCTATTATTTGCTGTTATAACGGTTTACAGCCTTCTGATGTAAAGCCTGAACGCAGCAGGGCAAGCTGTAAGTCAGGCCTGATTGCACATTTTCAATCAGTGTAATATTTTTATTGTTACTTCTAATGGAAAAATGGATTTTCCTTTCTGAAAGCCTCCATCTATGGTGTTGGAGGTCCTGAGGGCATCACATGCCTCGCCTGGCCCCTGTGGCGATGCTGCCTAGGGTGCCTTTCCTGCTCTGCTTCTCTTTCCTCCCTCTGAAGATTCATGTGCTGACCTAATTTATTGGTGCTTTGCCTTATAAACACAAATCACACTGGCAATCTAGTGGGTACTGCATATTAACTTCCCACACTGCCAAAATTACTTCTATTGCTAAGGAATATACTTGATACGGAACAGGGAGTAATTCTGTAAGCTTGATGTCACTGTTAATGTTTTTTGTGTATAGGGAATCAGTGATACGTGTTTGAAGTGGTGTGCTCATATTTTTTTTTTTTTTAATAATGCATACTAATATTTTTTTGGTTGCCTTCTGGCCCAGGATTTTGTTAGGTATTTGATATTTTTTGAACAAATGTTGACCAAATCTCTACCCCCCAACTCGAAGAGGCAGCGTGGCAACCTGCTCTTTCCCATGGTGGTTTTTCTAAGGTTGACTGGAGGGGCACTGAGCTGCAAGCCTGAGATAAATAGTGCTGAAAGTAGGGACATGATGGGCTGCCCATTACCAGCAGGCCTGGCTGCTACTGCCAAATCATCAGAGCTGGGCAGAGGGGGGCTTGTCCTGGACATTCATCACCAGCCTCAACTGATTGCAGAAAGCTTCTAGCTCCAGCCTTTTGCTTTGGAGTGTTCCCATTCTTTAATTTGGGATACAATATTCTGGATTATCTAAACCCTAAGGGATTTCTTGATAAACCTGTTGAAAGCACTGAACTCATTATTATATTAAGGAAAGGGAATGGGAGGCTTTTCCCTGCCTGTTTGTTACTCCTCAGCTGTTGCTGCTGCAGATCAAGGGTTGGCTCCTCAGCTGGGATCAGCTGGCCCCCATTTCAATGAAATGCCATCTAATTATATCAGCTGAGGATCTGCTCCACAATGCTTAATTCTTCCACTCTCTGGA